TAGTTTTTTTCAATAAACGGTGTTACCCTCACATTGGGGATCCTAGAGGACAGGGATTACAGAAAACCCACCATACTGCTGTCCCTTAGAGAAGAAACTGACAATGCACATGCAGCATCTTAGTGACCAAGGTAGTCCCAGCAGCAGTTCACTGCATAATAAATGTCTGGAAACTAATGGCCACTTTGAGCCCTTCTTGTAATTGAAGAGGCCAAAGGTAACTTGCACTAATCTCACAACATCTCAATAAATTTAGTATTAAATTTGTACAAGCACTTCTTTTCCTGAAGTGTGAATATATTTTGGAGGGCCCTATATAAAGAACTCAAAAAAGTGAGATGCGCCCCAACCTGCCAAATAAAAGAACAAATTAAAAAATAAATGAGTTAGATAAACAGACACTTCTCAGAATATAGATGGCCAATAAATACATTAAAATGTTCTCTATCGCTGGCTATTTAAGAAATGCAAATGAAAACAACACTGAGTTAATAGCTTACTCTAGAAGGAATGACCACCATCAAGGAAGCTGGTGGTAACAAGTGCTGGCGAGGCTGGGAGAAGGAGGCCGCTTTCACACACACTGCGGGAATGTAAACTAGTACAACTACTATGGAGCGTACTCAAAATGCTACAAATAGATGCTGACCATGGTTTTGCATGCTTGTAATCCCAGGAGGCAACAGGTTAAGGCAGGAGGATCTACCCAGAGTTCAAGTCCAGCCTAGACTACATAGTGACCTCAAAACCAAGCTCAACTATGCAGCAAAAACCTAAGAAAAAAAAAGAAAAGAAAAGAAAAACTCCATTTGACCTCACTATTTCCCTCTTAAAAATCCTCCTAAAAGAGCTAAATATTATAGTGATGCATGCACATACCTGTGTTAATGGCAGCACAATTTATAGTAGCTAAATTTTGGAAACAGCCTATATGTCCACTGGCAGATGAACAGATACACAAAACTTGGTATTTATCCCAATGGAATACTACTCAGACATAACAAATGATGAACTTGAAGCATCTGTAGGTAAATGGATGCACCTGGAGACCAGGTGACATCAGGTACATGAGCTTAAATATGGCATAGTTTCTCTCATATCTCTTATATAAGAAACCCAAAAATATAAATAGCAGCAAAATTAAGAATTCATAATACAAAGTAGGAGATCTTTTTTCAAATGGGAAAGGAAAAGAGATGGCGGGAGAAGGGATGAAAGAAGCAAAGGAAAGCAGATTAAAAAATGGAAGTAGAGCTTTTTCAAATGAGAAGGGGAACAAGCATTGGAAGGTACAGGGAGGACTAGGAGGGAAGGGGTCAAAAAGAATGAAAATGTGTTATGCACATATACAAACACCCCATGATAAAAAAAAAAACTATGTACTATAGGCATGTACTAATAAAAAATGAAATTATAAATAAGTAAATAAAATAGTCTTTGTGAAAACAAAATTCTGTCTTCTGCCTTCTAACAAGCCAGCGAGGGTCATCCTAATTAACGTATGTGGTTCCTAATGGTGCGACAAGACTGCAATTAAGAAAGAGCTGAGGACTGTGAGATTATAACACATCGAACCACTGATCCGTGCTGGCATAGCCAACAATGAGAAAGATCATGTCAACTGTGAAAGAATTGTTATTTCAACACAGATTAAAGGTAGTTTAGACTGTCTGAAACATACAACCAACATTAAGACCCTTAAAACTGAAGCAGACAGCATTCTGAAGATAATTGTCTTAATTTTTTTAATGCAATGGATTTGCAGAAAAAAATTTAAGACTATTCAACTGAAAGTAAAATAAGTATCACTAATCAACAGTGATTTTTACATTTTAATTGCTATGTTTACTTACATTATATTTGCCAAATTTTCCACTACTAGCAATTACTTTTATCTTTAAATTACAAGACTTTCTTAGCACAATGGATGAAATCAACCATCCAATTCTATATATGGGACGATCTAGGATATCTGTAGATTCATAAACCTTTACTTGACTCACGACCTTCAAGGTAACCTTCAAATCCCAATGTCTAGTAAAAGATCTAAAATATAAGCTACATTTATTAAGAAATGTTTAGCAAACAATTTCTGGAAATGGGTAAAATCACCAACAAGGCGACTTTAATGTATCCTCAGGACAATGCAAAGTGACCTGGGCTTATCCTCCAGCAGGACTGCCTAAAGCAGCCTCTTGAGTGGGATTATACAGTGCTCACCTGAAAGAAGGTTCAAACCACATTACAGCGTAATACCACTTGCTACTAAAATCTTTTACTAAGCACCTGGCCCAGGTCCTCAGCTTTTAGTACTGCCACTGAATTGCGCCATGCTGTTTTGCCATGATCCTGCTCCTCTTGTCTTTCTTGTAAAGAAACATTGTCCCAGAATGGGAAAAGTTTGTCTCTGATTTCAGTACGATTAAAAACTTCTCCGAACAACTGGCATACTTTAATTTTATGAGCATTTTTTGCCTCTGTTCTTCTCTCTACGTGAAGCTGAGAACGAAGTCTACAGAATTCATTCATCAATTCTGTAGGACATTAAGATGTGCATTCTATAAATTATTTGCTTCCTCCTATGATTCTTCCCAACCTCTAATACCACTCCCCTCAGATAACATGTATTTTTATAAGTCTTTAGGTGGACAAAGTAGGGCATAAAAAAGCAATAAACCAAAAATAAAATAGACCTTTGCCAAGCCAAGCTTGCTTTGGTCAGTGTGGCCTATGAAACTTACCAGCACAACAAGAAAATAAAAATGTAGCAGTACTCTCCTTCCTGCGACCAATCAGGGGTGACTGTCAGGAGCAGTCAGGCAGCAGTCCAAGGACCGGGAGCCCCTCCCTGCCCCCCAGCTCTAAAACACCCACGCCCAGGGTGTTCGTGTGAACAGAGCACCATGCCTGAGAATCAGCGTGGTTACTCCAGATACTCCACACCACCTGAGTTTTAATCCTCGCACCCAGTTTCAAGTGAGACTAAAATAGTCCTGACGGTGCTATTTCTCACTACAGGGTACTAAGCCAACAGGTCAATTACTATGATAACTTTATTTATGTTTGGACTCCACATATACACTGGCGTAGCAGCAAAGTCCTCTCTAAGCAGCAAAAAAGTTCGTGTTTTTCTTTCCCTAAAGAGGAGGAGAAAACAGTGGTGTCAGCCTAGAAAATGGTTCCTGGAGCGTGCCCCAATCAGTAACGCGTGATCCCTAAACCAAAGCGCGCAGGAACACACGGGACGCTCTTCCCTGCGCACAGAGTGCTCCTAGGTCTAGATGCAACACAGATTTCATTTAATGTCTGCAGCGAGCCAAACCTTACAAGCAGATTCTCAGGACATGTCTTAAAATACTTCGTTCAGATATCAAAGAACAGGTCTACTTTGTTGGATACACGAGGTTCTGATTTGGAAAGGGGCGACCTCACATACGTGCACCTAAAATGCAAACTTCCCCTTAGCTTCCACGTAGAAGTCGGCACAGCCCCTCTCTAGCCACGCCCCGCCTTGCTCCAGCGCTAGGGTCTCGGCGACTTCCTCCACACCCAGTCGGCCAACACTTAAGTTCTCATCCAATGACTATGGAACCTTTGTGAGGACATACGTTATTTTTAAGAGCTGAAACTGCCACTGTGATCGCAAAGAAATCTGGATAGCTATGAAAGTTGTAAAGCTTCCTCAACTCTTAGAAAAATCGAGAAAATAATCGCTGAAACTATCTTTTTTGCAACAGAATTACTTCGAAATGTGATATAAACGGATTACGTTTCACCTCTCGTTGACATTACAAGATATGGGAGAGAAAAAACTGAAGTCATCGGGGTTCCTACGCTTCCCGTCATTACCTCCCCACAACAATGCACTTAGGAGTTCACTGCAGCAAAGAACTGACATATGTCCTTTCCTTTTCGAGTCTCTCCTCTCGCCACATCACGGAAAATATTCCAAGAACAGAGTAAAGAAGAAGGATTACCGGCCCAAAAGTCGCTAGGAGCCGGCCCACTCGGGGCCGCGAGCCTTCCTCCCGGCGGCCCCCGCAGCCCCACCGCGGCTCCGGCCGCACCCCGCGGGCAGGCACTTCCCGTCCCCCGGCCGGCCGGGCGCGGGCTGACCGCCGCTCTCCGAGGAAAGAGGAAGCGGCCGCCGAGCGCTCGGGACCCTCACCGCGCGCCGCTCCCCGGCCCGGCTCCCCGGAAAGCTCCCTTCCACCGACGCCGCCACCACACGCGCCAGGAAGCTGTCGCGAGGGATAACGCTGCAAAGCCCCGAGTAGCCAGCCCCTCCGCAATTTTCTTTTTAAAACCCTCTCGCCGCCCGGACCGGCCCGCCCCTGAGGGATCGCAGGCAGCGCCCGACCCGTCCGGGTCCCGCGTCGAGCTCGCTGCCGCGCCTCTCACCTGGTTTGACCGGTTTGGGGGGCGGCTTCGACATCTCGCTTCCTGGAGCGCGAAGCCTCGCAGACCGCGAGCGGAGAGCCCACTGGACACTTCGTCGGCCGGCACGCGTCTCCCGCTGTCCAGCGAGCGCTGCGCTGAGCTCCGGGACCCGCCCGCCCTGGCTGCGCCGCGCGCGGACGCAAGCTCAGCGCTCAGCCGAGTGCCCGCCCCGCCCCGCCCCCG